AAGCCACGCTCTTTGTGGGCTCCAGCTGTGTGCCTCTGGGCATGGCATAGGGAGCAATGCGCTTAATTGAGCTGGAGAACTCTCTTTCAGTAAAGTCTGAACATTTGGAAATACGCTTTCTCAATGAAATGCAAACAGATCTATTCAAAAGCTCCCGCAAGTAGGAATGTTTCTAAATTGGTGACTTTCTGCTTTCTTGAACGTGCACGGGTTTGAGATTTGGGTGGGGTATTTTTTGAGGATGGTAGTTTCTCACACTTTCATTTAATGAAATCAGTGAATTTCATTAAATGGGCCAAGATCAATGTGGGATGAGAGTAAAATTATGCAGCGTTCTGATACAGAGTGGCTGTTGCACCTCTTGTGCCAGGGCACGAGGCAGTCGTTATTTCCAGCGCTGTGTAACGATGCTGGGAATTTTCCCACAGCAGCTGACCGGCCCCAGTGGCGCCTTCCACCAGGAGCATGTCAGGGGCTCATACAAACCTGTGTTTTCCTAATAGTGGGATTAAAAGTAGTTTAGGATTGCTCTTTGAGTGTCAGTCTGTGAACCCTGCGGGAGGACAGCTTCCCCACGCCTGTTTGTACTGCGGCTCTGTCTTGCCTCTCAGCCAGGTCAGGGAAGAGGCCTCAGACTGAGGTGTTGCTGAAGACCTGGTTTCAGCTCCAGCCACTGGTTGTAAAGTGGTAACCTCTAAATCTCCTTTTTTCCCTTTAAAAAAAATGTGTGGGTGGGTTGCACAGTTTAATTTTTCTTCTCAAACTTGTACTGAACTGGAATCTGTAGGGTAGATTTAGGTTAGATATTAGGAAAAAATTCTTTACTGTGAGGTTGGTGAGACACTGGAACAAGGTTGCCCAGAGGAGCTGTGGATGCTCCATCCTTGGAGGTGTTCAAGGCCAGGCTGGAGGGGGCTTGGAGCAACCGGGTCTAATGGGAGGTGTCCCAGCTCAGGGCAAGGGGCTTGGAACTGGATGATCTTTAAGGTCCCTTCCAACCCAAACCATTCTGTGATTCTAAACAGGCTGTTTAGGGGAAATTAATTGTATTGATATCTAATTGTGATTTAAGTTTGATTAGATCACTCTTAGGAGAATAAAAGCACCTATAACAATGTATGGGTTGCCCCTACTCCTCCACTTTTGCGTTCATTCTGACTATGGCTTACTATGTGAACTTGATAAATAGCACTTCAGAAAGTCATGTTTCCTCTTTTTCCTGTTTTACACATATTTGTCAGCACATGTGCAATGCAAAATACACTCTGTGTGTGAATTTTAGTGCATCAATGAATAGGACAGATTAACTGGAGGGCAGGGTGGGTTTTGTACTTAATGCTGTTACTCCTGTAGTAGACAGGTTTTGTCTGCCTGGAAGGGTAATGATTTCTGAATTAGTGCCCATCTGCAGGGCTTTTGTGTCTTGGTAGAACATGTAAAAGGATTAGTTTATGGTAGATTCACTGCTTTATCTGGTCTGTGATGCAAAACAGGTGCCATTTTTAATTAAACATGAGGTCTCGGTACCCTTACTGGTGAGTTGGGAAGTTGCAGAACCGTGCTGTGGTCCCATTCTCACCTGCCTGGGCCTTGTTCCTCATAAGGAAAGGTGGAAGCTAAGTTTCAGTGGAGGACCTGAGAAAAACTCCGAAGTCTTGCAGCTTAGGCAAGCCCAGGATATCCATGAGGTAGTTAAGGCTGGTTTGGTACAGACGTTATAAGAAATGTACTGATTTTTTTGATTTAGATACTTTTTCAGTCTGTAAAATGAAAATCAAACATTACATATTACCAGGATTATTTACTAAAGGCACCTCCTTCACTTAAATCAATAATGAATACGTCTGGCAGGCCCTGGGCGGTAGCATTAAATTTCACCCAAGTTTGCTATTTAATAAGGTAGGGTAAGGTGAGAATTTCTGCAATGACTCGGTTGTACTGAGGTGGGCATGAGAATGAAAAGCAAATGCATTAGGAAGACATCTAAAACAGTGTGTTTATAGCGAACTGACTTAGTAACTCTGTCACCCTTAAAAAGAGCCCATTTTTGAGTGGAAATGTGTCTTGCTGCCAGCTAGTTTGGAAGGTCTTCACCTAGAAGCTTTACTCTGTTCCCTGAGGTCAGATAGATCCTTTTGTAAAGTCTGGGATCAGATGACATAGTACTAAAACACGTTGCCTGTGTGGAATCAATCGCTTCACAGCTCATTGTTTAATTGACATTTTACGTCCAGTTGCCAAGCCAATAGTGTAGCTTGACCTATGGCTTAAACTATAAAAACTTAAGAGTTGTGGCAAAAATACTGGGTAAGGGAGGGTGTCAAGATACATGTGAGATTAATAGGCAGTGCGGTACTTTTTACTAGTGTGGTATCTTGTTTTACAAGGGAATTCTAAAATGTGTTTGTTCTGCTGTAATTTATGCATAGTAAATACACGATGCTTACATAAATTCCTAATGAGAAACGTCTTATGTTCAATAGGCACAATTCAGTTAGCAGATTTTGCTCTTTTTAGATGAAATTTTTTTTTCAGAACTTTGGCATCTGGGAACATTGTCTTTAGGTAGTAGCATTTGGTATAATACTTACTAAGGCAGTGCTTTACAGTTGCTCATCAAAATAATATGAATATTGAAGGCCAAAAGGCTATAGGGTGAGATGCTCATACAAACTTTTATTCTGGTATATGTTAATTGTTAAAGCTTGATTTTTGATTTTTTTTTTTCTTTTTTTTTTCTTTCTGGGTACTGGTCAAAATCAGTGGCTGTTTTAATATTATTTTTTTTTGCATGGGCAGGAACAGTTCCCAGTAAGAAAGAATGGAAGTCAAAAGTTAGGAGTCATATTTTACAGCACGAGTAATCTCAGTCTGCTTGTGGTTAATATGCTGTGGTAGCAAAGCAGTCAGCTTACCTGTCAAATCATAAATAAAGGAAGAGATAGGTCCAGGAAAAAATACCATGCTTCAGCAGTTAATTTCTTCATCTTTCTCAGTAGCACAAAACTTTTATTGGGATCTAGAAGGCAAGCTGAGAATTTCAAGAATAATTATTTTAAAGGATGAAAACTAAATGAGAGATATTAAGAGGAGGAAGAGTACAGGAAGGTGAGGCTTCAGGATACTTTGACCTAAAGGGAATCAACACAGAAGATAAGGACAGTTCTCAAACCCTAAATGGCTAGTTTGACTTGATTTTAAGGAATGGAAAGATAAGAAAATGTACACTGTGGAGGTGCTGCTTGATGGCTAGTGTTGCAGGTTATAAAAATAGGACACTTTCAGGCACAGAAAAGGATAAGTTGATTTCATTGGTAATGAAATCACTAAAGCTGGATGATATTTATTTGAGAATTCTGAAAACAGTCATGTGTGAAGTGACTAAGCTGCTAAGAATAATGCTCAGTTTATCATTAAAACTAACTGTTATACTTGGAGATTGAACTGCAGGAAATACCTTACACTTTTTTTTTTTTTTTTTTAAATAACTAAGTGCAGCAAGTCCTTGGAATGATAAGCTAATGAACCTATCTTAAAAAAGTTGACACTGGAAAAATTACCTAGTTGAGCATGGCATGCATAGCTTCTGTGAAAAGGGAATGAGGTAAACAGATCTTTGACCTTACTTAAAATTAGGAGAGGATTTTGAGGATTTTATCAAAAGATTGCCAGTTGAAATAGATGATGTGTATGAGTGGCAGTTAAATAGCTGTGTGAGGGGAAATCTGAGGTCCTGAATTTCAGAACTGGTCAGCACTAATCCTGTGTCTGCACAGGGATAATTTAAGTGGAACTGAAAGTTTGTTACTTTAACAGTGCTAAATATATCTGAAATAATTGCATGTATTTACTTTGGCTATTTGTTATATCTTATTCAAATACAGATTCAAAAGATTCAAATATACACTTAGATGAAGTAGGAAATCCTGGGAATACCATGTTTTAGCAGCTAACTATGGTGTGTAGTGTCTCCTTTGATGGATTGAACAGGGGGTTTCAGTTATGTTATAGGGTATGAGCTGAAGCTTGGTGAAGTCGGGGTAATTCTAGTTTTTGATTATGGCAGTGAGGAAAGTCTTGTCAAAAGAACAAGGAGTTCTGTTTGTCCCTCAACACCACTGTGTAATGGTTGGAAAGAAGCTGAAGGTGTTGTTATTTCAGTTGGCAACTGGGGGTAATGAACTGTGTGCAACTCCAGCCTGACCGATGATTTGAAATAGAAAGACTACACAAATGTGTTAACAAACTTGAGAGCATAAGATGTGTGGAGTGTTGGGCCTTATCTGTTTAAGTAACAGCTTTTTACAAAAGATAACTTTTTCTTGTCTTCTGTGTTCTTCTCACCCAGAGTTCAGTGGCTTTTGTGTGTCAACAGAGATCATAAAGCTTTGAATAACAGTGCGTTGTATATATTTTCAAGAATCAAAGAATTGTTATTTTCTTACTTTTCTCTTGAACTAAGGAATAGTTACTAAAGTGCAACTTGTAAAAAAGCGCAAGTTGTAAAAACTAAGAGGAAAAAAGAATGGATTTTTTTTTTTTATTTTGCATGTAGTTTGTTTTATGTCTTACTTAATGCTAAACGTTAGTGTGCTTATTTGATGTGAGCTGACTGGTGACTATATGTGAGTTTAACTTCATGCACATCTTTCTGATTACAGTGTAATTTTTCTGACACTTAGGAGTTACAAACTGTCATAACAACTTATGTTTTAAGAAGACTAAATTTGGCAAAATTTTTATAAAAATAATAATTCTTGGTCATTTAGGATAGCATCTGTCATTAAAAACTGAATTACTGTTTTAATTTTCATTGGGCACGTTGGAATGCTTACCTGGGAATTGGTTTTAGTCACCATGCGTTGCTGTAGCCATTCACATTGCATTCGGTTTGCCTACTTGTTTCTTCCTCTCAGACCTTAGCATTACTTCGATGGGCTGTTCCTTTTGAAAAGTGCTGCTGCGGTCATTATAACGGGGACTTTTCTCTCTTTCCCCAGTGAAAGGAAGTCAGAAGTGTGAGCTGAATTGCCGTGCCATCGGCTACCGGTTCTACGTGCGACAGGCCGAGCAGGTGATCGATGGGACGCCCTGCGACCAGAACGGGACTGCCATCTGCGTGGCCGGGCAGTGCAAGGTATGGCTGCTGCCTCGGGCAGCTCCACCTCCAGGTGCTCTGTGATGGCTCCAAGTCCTCTAGGAGGTTGAGACCACTGTACCTCTGACATGGTGTCATCTGCCCCTTTATTTTTTTGAAGTGGATGTGAAAAATGTTAACTTTTATTACTACAGGTTTTATGTCTCAACTAATGTTTCTATCTACTAAGACAGAATGCTGAAAGGCTGGATTCAGAAGGTATTCTGGCCACAATTAAGGTGACTTTCAGTGAGCTTCTTCCACATATATAGCTTTCTACAGAAGAGACTTCATGAAAGGATCAGAACAAAAAGATTTGAAGCTTAAATAAGAGAGAACTATAATATCTTTCTTTGATTAAACTTTAGACTGGAGATATTTTTTTTCAGTCTGCAACATAATGGTTTGTTCAGTTACGTGTTTATTTTGATTGCTTTTTAGCTGGTGTTAGTGTAACTTTTCAGATTGATACATGTTTGCCATTTTTACAAATCAGGTCTTAATGGCTGTCCATTTACTCAGCACTGATGTTCTCTTAGAAGATACTTGAATGAATGGTTATTTTTCAAGGGTTCAGAAGGAGCTACTGTGTTGACTTTTTGCAGTCTGGTGTGTGAATTCCCTTTGTAATGAACAAATACACTGCTTTCTGCAAGATTATAGCAATTTTAAACAAAATGTTACGGTGTTTAGGAAAAAAAAGTTTGTAATCTTTCAACTAAGGTTAGTGGAAGAAATAATTTCCTAGCAGGGGGCATTTGACACTTGGCTGATATTTCCCGTATATATTGGTAAAAGAAGCAGAAGTGGGTCAGATGTGACTCATGAACTCAAATAGTGAAAGGTCAGGTTCAGTTTAAATTGTTGGTTTGCCAGAGGAAATAACTTATGATTACAACCTTTTCCTCTGTGTGTCCAGATTCCTCTTATTTGTGCACATCTGGACAATGCCATGTATCTTTCTGTTCTGTATTTCTTAGTGCAAGCAAAGCCATAACTTTGAATTTTCTTTATAGATGATAGAGCTGTGTGAAGTTGATTATTCTTTAAAGCTTTCCTTGATCACAAACCAATTCAGAAAGGGCCAGAAATTTGTTTTAATTACAGTTCTGATCTGTCACTCAAACTCTGAAAAACAGGTTTAGTATACCAGCTGTTGTATTCTCCCAGTGCTGTGCAGTTGCAAAAGTCTATACTGTGTTGGAAGTCTGGGATAGAAAGGAAAGGCAAGTCTTCAGCAGCCTAGTAAGAGAGTGTACTGAATTCTGAGTCACCCATTGCCGTGTAGAATGCCAATTCCCAAAGCTGCACGTAAACAAACAGCAGGTTGTGAATCCTCACTGAGAATATGTAACTTGGGATTGATAGAACTGTGGAATAATTCAGCTTGTAAGGTACCTAGGAAGACCATGTAGTTCAGCTCCCTACTGAGAACAGGGCTCTCTCTGTCAGACAGCTGTCATGGCCTTTTCCAGGTTCAGTTTTGAACCTGTTCTAGTATTTGAACAACATCACAGTGGAATCTTTTTCCTAGTATTCCTCTGAAATTCCTCATACTGCAGCTTGTGCCCTTGGTCTCTCAACCTAGCGGTGCACATCTCTGAGAATCTGGCTCTATCTGCTCTGTTACCCTCCCTCCCATTAGATGTTGACATCAGTAACATCTTCCCTTAGCCTTCTCTTAAGGCTTGGGGTTCCTAGGCTGTAGTGGTTTTTTTTGTTTGACTGGGGTTTTTTCCTTCCTTTTTTCTTATGGCATTGAAAATAGACTTAAAAATCAAGATCTCGGTGTCAATTTAAACCGTTCCTCAGTGATCCTTACTTAATGTTTCGTGAAGTGATGTAGTCTATAATTCTTAAGAGTTAAATTCTGTACTGGTGCTGAGTGCCTTATAAGCAATAAATTACCACGAGGAAGCCAAGAGAGAGCAGGTAAAGACACTTGTTATTCTGTGCTTTGTAGTGGTTCTCACGACAGCGAAGTGGAATGAGGGTGGGAGGTGGAGAAGGTGAGGTAGTTGGCAGAGCCCTCATATACACTGGTATTAACTGTGCTTGTGTGAAAGGCCTTGGGAGACATGTCTGGCTAAAATATTAAAAGGTTTATATTTTTCTTCTGAAGAGGAACTTCATTCAGACATTTCCCAGCTTCTTGTGTTGAGTTCTTTTGATCTGTAGCAACGCACTCATCATTCATTACTCACAGTCTCAGTAACTGTCAGATGGATGTCAGCTGAAAGAGACTTGATGTGTTTAACTGTGCAACAGTTACACACGCTATTTTTATTTGTTTCAAAGTTTTGAGTTAGTGTTTGAGGGAGTATTCACAGGTATATATATCAAACTAAAGAAAAATACAGTATTCCAGCTTCACGGTGCTTTGAAACACTATCGTTATTGAGTCAGTCTTTTTTCAGTGATTTCAGCGCTACATCTTTGGTGAAAATTTACCTTCAAATAGTCAATAGCCTGTTTGCATTTGAGGGAGATTGATGTTTCAGGATAGATTCATCTATATTAAAATTACTTATCTTGTTCCTATTTCATCTGCTCTCTGTGTAAGATCTTACACTTCCTATGATTTACGGATGAATTAATCTGATACACAAATGAAATATTAAGTTGCATATATTGCCTGTCTCCTCGGACTCTGAGATTTTGTATCTCACTTGTGAAGGCAGTAAAGCTATTAAAAATAAATAAAATAATTTTACTTAACAGTGATATTACACATTGTAGAGTGACCATGGATGTAGCTGAAGGATGTAATAAATAGAGAATCAAATAATTTAACTTTTGTACTGTCAGATGCTTAAGAGAATATTTTTCTGAAAAGTCCTCAACATTTACAGTTAACTGAAAGTGTTTCCTGAGTAATGAAGCTTATTCAAATCTTTGTAGTAGGTGTCTCTTCCTTAAATGCACATTATTTTTATTTTTTTAAGGTCAGCTAGTTTAAGTGTATTTATGGTCTCTGTCACCCTCTGTTGGACATTTTGCTGCAGTACCAGAACAAGAATATCCTTGTGTTAAAAAACATGATCTATTTTGTTCCCAGGACCATTGTTTCTGGTTAATATTTTCAGTTTACCTTATTCTTAGAAACAGAAGATAGAAAATGTTGCTATAACAAAAATAATAAAAATTACTTACAGACAAAGTAAAGAATACAAAAGAGACAGGTTTACCTGAAATAAAAAATTAAATATGTATGGTGAGGTATTTCTCACTTCTTGCTCTTTAACCACTTACAATGTTATGTAAGGCAACCACAAGTAGCATTAATTAGAAGTTCTCAATATATAAAATGCAGTCACATCCGTTAACACTAAAAATACATCAAAGAGAAGTTTTGTCTTAACATCAAAATCAGACTATTTAATACATCAATTGTTTCTTTTTTTGAGTTGTTAACCAATGTTAGATAGAATAGCCTTTTAAAACTGAAGTATTGTTTAATCTTATTAGCAAAGATAAACTATAGTATACGGGAAGATTTTAAAACCAGAGGTATGTACAGAAGTCCTTCCTAAAGCCTGGTTGTTGTGGCCATTACAATATCCCAGGGTATTGCAGGAAAGTCAGAATAACAGTGTATTTCCGAGTCCCTCTGAACAGCATCTCAGTAGCCATTTCCTTACTTCCAGAGAGTGTTGTTATTCACTGTTTGTTATTCTTTTCAATTGGCCCCCAGAGTTGGAAGTAAAAACCTTATAACTTGCCCAGCACAAGAAGTGATTTTTCAGCTCATTTTAAGCTCGTTTTTTCAAATGTAGTCCTTTAGCAAAACGTGGTATGTTCTTGTGATGAAATATCCTAATTTGTTTGTTGTTTTTTTCCCATTTTCTTATTTGTCTGTGACATTGCAATAACTGGCACATATACTAATGCAAGTACTACAAAAAAAGCTCACTCTTCATTACCATGATTATGTACTTCCTGGTGTAGACCAGACTCTGGTCTTCTTCGTCAGAAGGCTCTGACTTCTAATGAAATAGACCCTCTTTAAAGCAATTAAATAGCAATTAAAAATAAAACAAGTCAAAGTAGGAAGAACCAGGTGGTATTTTACATATGCAGAAGAAAGAAGTATAACAATGATCTTGATAATCAGTTTTATTATTTCTGTCTAAAATTCTTTGTCTGCATATTTGAGCAATGTTCTTTCTGATGAATTTTGGAAAGTGAACGAATGGCAGTCCTATTGAGTTTCACTTTTGTTTTTTCAAGATTTTTATTTCATGTCACAGCTGGATATTGGTAATATATGTGCTTTGAATATGTATCAGTATTACTGAGTATGTGCCATTTATTTTAATACATTTTCTATCTCTCTCCTAATTCTAAACTTCATAGTTAAGTTAAAGAATGCCTGAGAATGGGGCTTCTTTGACTTGCTATTTAGCCAGAAGTGTGTGTTGTTTTGTTTTAAGATATTTTTTCTGTTTGCTTTAAATCACTGTGTCCTTTCATTTCTTCTGGAGCCAGCGGGATGATCCTGCTCAGTAACTGCAAAGATTAGAAGGGAAATGCAAGTAGAATATTGAGGACGTTTTAATAAATAAAGAAGAGTATGAGGAGAAAGTGGTATTAATAATTTTGGCCCTGACCATGGTTTACTAAATGTACTGAAGGGGAAGTGTGTTGCATGTGTTTTTTGTGTGCATCTAGGACACTTCTGCTAGAAGAAGTGATACTTGGGCAGGTGTGAGCACTGACTCATTGTCATCTTCGGGACAGAAAAAAAGGTTATTTGTTAGCTGTGAAGCAAATTGGTTTTGCAGAGATGTTAGTTACCACACAGGGGCGCACTTTACAAAAGTATTATTTAGCATTTCACATAAAACTTCATTTGGGTGGGAACTGTAGATACCTTTTAAAGGTACCTGAAACAACTATTTTCTCTCCTGATTTTTATATTACATTTTCTCTTGCATTGTAGTTTATTTTCATTTTCCAGTTAACTTCTGAAGTTAACTGAAAGTATCTGAGCAGCTTAG